TCTCTCTCTCTCTCTCTCTCTCTCTCTCTCTCTCTCTCTCTCTCTCTCTCTCTCTCTCTCTCTCTCTCTCTCTCTCTCTCTCTCTCTCTCTCTCTCTCTCTCTCTCTCTCTCTGTCTTTCTGTGTACCATGTAGACGCTCTGCGGGTATCTCTCTCAATATGTCGACTTGCTTGCTTGCTGTGACTTGTGCTGCTTTTCCTTGCTCACGCGTGTCTGTCCCCGCCGCCTCTTTGACATCACAACCCCCCCCCCCCCGGCGAATTAGGCAAGCTGCCTGCGATCAACTACCGCACCATGATCCACACCCCACTCGACGCCAACGTCGTCTACAAGAAGCGCCCAGAGGCCGTCGTCTAAGCCCGTCTCGCCCACCATTCGTCGTGCCACATATCATGCACCCCGTGTTTGTATGTCTGTGTATGTCTGTCTGTGTGTGTGTGTGTGTTTGTGCAGTGATGGGGGTTTTTCCTGTACCTGTGCCTATGTTCCATGTCATTTCTGCGCGTGTCCACCCACTTGCCATTTAGCTCTCTTTCTCGACGTGTGTGTGTGTGTGTGTGTGTGTGTGTGTGTGCGTGTGCGTGTGTGCGTGTGCGTGTGTGAATTCGCATCAGCTCTACCAGTTGAATGTGACTGTTACGATGGATTGCCCATCTTCGCCCTCTCCTTTCCAGCTTTTGCTGTTTCTTGCACTCTCCTGTGTCTCTGCTGTGTTGTGCCCTTCCTTGCTCTTGACCACTGTCCTACGAAGAAGAAGAACCAGCTAAGATTGGGCAACAGGGCACGATGTCGCATTCATTGCAGTGTATTGCGAGAGCCATTGCCACTGCCACATGTGTCACATCTCGTCGCATGTCTCACATCGTCGATCGCACGCAGGGCTGGCATTTTCCTCCAAATCTCACACACCACACCTCCTCCACCACCACCAAAGCGCGCGCAATCATGCGACGAGATTCAAGGTGTGCCTCAGTCCTCACGGCTGGGGTGCTGCTGGTCTTGGTTGCGGCGAGCGGCAGTGGTGGTTGCGAGGGCGCGGTGTTGCGACAGCAGCCCTTGACCATGACACGGCTCGCGCTCAGTCACAGCCACCACGGCAGGCCTGCAAGCCAACACATCCTCGACCACGAGCGACAACAACCACGACAGCAGCAGAACGACAGACACACTTTCCATGTGGCTGGGGGTGCACGGGGCTTTGCAGCACAAGCGCAGGAGCAGGGCCCCGCAGCTGAGAGACAAGGTGCACCAAGCTCACACAAACACAGTGCCCACAGGAGAGTGACGTACGATTACGAGAACCCGATCGAGTACGGGTGCCATGCGTACGAGGCCGACGTTCGGATTGACGGCATCCCGGGCTCGTTCTGCTCCCCGTCGTGCTCCCGCACGGTGCCGTGCTCCACAAACCTACCACCCGACACCACGGCCGCGCCGGAGTGCGTGCTGGAGTTTCCAGGCGACACAGCGCCCTCCATGTGCGCGCTCGTGTGCACACCAGGCGCCAACCAATGCCCCCTCAACGCCAGCTGCAAGTCTATCTCCCCAGGCATGGGCCTGTGCACCTACAACACATGAAAACCGGTGCAGCTGCTGCACCTATCAGTCGTCAGTGCGACGTGTCCCTTCTTCACCCGAACCCTCTTGCCTGTCACATCACATCATCTTCTCACGCGTTGCTTAGCTTCCCACCTTCCTTGTGCTTGCTTTGCTTGCTTTCCGTTGCTTTCTTCCCTGTCTCTGTTCCATCGCACTGCCTGGAGTAGCACCAACACACCCTGTCATGCCCTTTCTTTCCTTCCCCCATGTCTCGTGTTAGCCCCTGCAGTCACCACTCATCAGTAAACGAATGCCAAGCAAGCAGCACCGAGAGGCGGGAAACAAGGTCAGGGTCGGGTTGAGTCAGAGACAAGTGATCACAACAAGGTCCAGCACCACAGCACCACTTTCGTTGTGTCCAGCCACGCGAACACACAATTTCGCTGTCATCACAGCGCGTGACAACAACGATGGACAACAGCAGCAGGCGGTGTGGCTGCGGTGGCCGCGGCGGAGGCAGGGATAGCAAGTCGAACATGGAGGGGCGGAGACGAGAAGGACGACGGTTACGGCGAGGTGGCTCGGTTGTTGGAGCTGTGGTAGCTCTGGTGGCGGCGGTGGTGACAGTGATGGTGGTGATGGAGGCAGACACGGCATGGGGAAGGGAGTTTCAGCAGTGCGAAGAAGGAGAGGTGTGTATTGGCACAGCATGCTTTGTGCTGGAGGGGGGAGGTGGCATCGAGGGCTACCACCTGCCGTGTTCCGTCTGTCGGTGCGTGCCACGCGAGGGCGGCTTGCTCCTGCATCCCCTGGACCGCCCGCCCTGCCCGCTGGAGAAGCTGCGGCCCAAGTGGGTCTTCTACAAGAACATGCACCACAGCATGATGTTCCCGACCCGCTGCCAGATGAACTTCTACAACCAGACACACCTCTGGCAGGAGCTGCAGCGGCGCAACGGCATGTGGATTGCCATGGTCGGCGACAGCCTCATCCGCTCCGTCTTTGCAAGCCTGCTCGACCTCTTCTTGCCCGGCCCCGTCAAGGAGTACACCTCTTTCGAGAAGGACGTGTACCACCTGGACCACCTCATCTGCTGCCGTGCGCCAGACGACTGCGTCGGCGAGATCCGCACTGACCCGGATGCCGTCTTCACAGACATGGTGCAGCGGCACATGAGGCACAGCGGCGTCAGCTGCATCACGTGGCAGTGGGGTCGCTACGCGGACGATGACCTCATCAAGGCCACCGCGCGCCTGGCCGCCAGCTCCCCTGCACCGGCCGCCATCGTCGTCAACCCGGGCATCCACGGCCTTCTGCCGGGCTCACGCTTCATCAAGGAGCTCGACGGCATGGAGCGCTTCCTCAAACTGTGCGGCAGGCTCGGTCGGCAGACGCAGTGCATTGTGCAGACAACCGCGCACACGGGGTACAACCGCACCGACGCTGTCACCTACAAGCACCTGCGCCTGCGCCAATACATTGCAGCATACAACGCGGGCGTGATTGAGCTCATCCACGCCTACGGAACGGCCAAGTACGTCGACGCGGGCCGACTGTCACGCTCCCCGCTGATTCGCGCAACCATGTCTGGCGATCGACTGCACTTCTTGAAGGATCCCGTTATCTTTGGGCCCGTCATTGCGCAGAGCATGCTCAACCTCTTGGTCAGCCCGTGCGACGACTGCCTCACCGTGGAGGCGCTCGAGAACTTTTTCTGACGTATTCTTGTGTTCTTGTGTGTGTGTCTGTGCGTGCGTGTTCTTGTGTATGTCTGTGCGTCTGTGCGTCTGTCTGTCTGTGTGTCTGTGTGTCTGTGTGTGTGTGTGTGTTCTTTTCGAGCGTTCCTCGTTCATCGATGTCCGTCGCTCGTATCTCCTTTAGCTCTTACATCAAGCTTTAGTGTACGTATCACCTCATGTGTGTGTATGTGTGTGTCTTTCGTCTCTCGTGCCCCACCATCCTTCAACAAACACACACGCGCGCGCTCTTTCCTCAGAGCATCTTCTCTGTCCATTTAGTGTCACATAAACAACTTCAGGCAGTGAACACATGAAAGAGAGAGAGAGAGAGAGAGAGAGAGAGAGAGTGTGTGTGTGTGTGTGTGTGTGTGTTATGACGACTTGTCAAGGTCCCGCAGCATGGCTTGCTTCGTGCGCGCACGCCCTTCTTCACTGCAGTCCGGAGAGATGAATGAGGTGAGGACGGCAGTGGGAGCGTGTGATGTGTCGACCATCTCACGCATAAATGCACAACACACACACACACACACACACACACACACACACACACACACACACACACACACACACACACACAACACACACGTACGGTGTGATGATGGGCTGGAAGTCAAACTCGGGTTTTGCGCGCGTGCCGATGAACCACTGCGACCAAAGAATGCCTGTGACGGCGCCAGGTGTCAACTGCAACAGCGACACACAAGTCAGTGAGTGCATGTGGTAGGTGGTGATGGGAGGAGGCTAGAGGCCGGGCAATCTAGGAAGCAATCAAGGAACGTGAATGTGCATGACCACCACGAGCACACATGCATACACGTTCTTCATTCACACTAACACGCTCTCTCTTCCTCCCTCCTTTTTGTGTCACACGTACGGTTGGAGTGTAGGTGACGACTGGAGAGAGGACCCACGCAAGTGCCATGTTGATGTAGGCCAGCAAGATGACCTGGTCAAGCCACAGCGCAGATTTGCACGCGAGTCAGCCATCATGCGTTGACATGCACAACACCAATCACCCTCTGACGACAACAGATGCACACACCACACACACACACACGCACATGTACACACGTACACGTACACACACACACACACACACACACACACACACACACACACACACACACACACACACACACACACACACCAGCCATGCTGGGATGTACGGCCATGCTGGCGGCATCCTGTACCCGGCGGCCTCAACAAACTCCTCAAAGAACTCCCTGCAAGAAGAAGGAAGAAGGAACAAGAAAATCGCGCCATCGGTGATGGTATGTCATATCACAAACAACGTGTCCCTGCACAACTACAAACAAACAAACACACCCACACACACACACACACACACACACACACACACACACACCACACACACACCACACACACACACACACACACACACACACACACACGAGCAACACACCAGAAGTTTTCTGCGGTTGTGGTCTCTGAGAGGAGATAGGCGCGGCCCTGGCACCGCGGATCAGCACGAAGGAGCTCGCGTGCCGCACACACGTGCGCGTGGGCCACGTTCTTGACGTAGATGTGCGTCATCACAATGTCGGGGCTGCCGAGACGAACAGCGAGGGAGCCCGATTTGGCTGCGTTCATCACATTGGGCAAGTGGTACGGATCACGCTACACACACACACACACACACACACACACACACACACACACACACACAATCACAGGCACAGGCAATCACAGGCACAATCATGATCGGTGAGACGACTGCAATAATGTGTGTGTGTGTGTGTGTCCATGCGCGTACGCTCTCATATCGACAAAAGTCACCGTGCCTGTGAACCGCCTCCCCCCTTCCACATTTACCCACGTGGCATGGTTGACCCACCTCTCCATACATGCCAGTGACCCGGAGGGCACACGTCCGCAGCTGCGTGCCGTTGACTGCCAGCACCTCCTGCTCTGCCTGCGCCTTTGTTGTTGCATATGCCCCGTACAGGAACTGGCTTGGTGTCGGTGGCACCTTGGCCTGCTCGTCCGTCACCCCGCGATGATGCTTGCCTCTCCTGTGTGTGCATGTATGTGTGTGTGCGTGCATGTGTGAGAGTGTGCGTGAGTGAGTGAGTGTGTGTGTGTGTGTGTGTGACGAATACAGCAACACAGACAGAGAGAGAGAGAGACACACACACACACACACTGTACGCCATCAATAGAAGGCGGCGGTATGTTGCGTGTGTATGCGTGTGCCTGCTCTTTGCATCATACCAGCAAACAACATCCATGGTGCTCGTGAAGACGAGGGCAGGCACCTGAAAACACACAGTGCGCGAGGCATTCAGTGTCAGCCTTGAGATTGCAAAACAGGCGCCCCCTCCCCCACAGAAACACACACACACACACACACACACACACACACACACACACACATGCAGACGTGACAACATGGCAAGTGCACGGTGACATACGTGCTGCTCCAGGCACGCCGTGATCACGGTCTGTGTGCCGACGACGTTCACCTACCAAACGGATTCAAATGCACCGCACCAGCTCATGAGAAGGGGACAAGGAGGGGGCTACTGGCTCGTGTTCGTGGTTATGGCTGTGGGTTATTGGTTGTTTATGTGGGCTGTTGCTGTTGTTTTGTTTGTTGCGACGAGATGCAGATCCACGTATGCACCTGCGTCATGTGTGAAAACAAAACAAAACAAAAAACACACCTCGTGAAGCACGTGTGCAGGGCGCTGTCCCCAATCCACCAAGGCAGCCACGTGGAACACGACATCCGCGTCAGCGAAGGCCTTAGTCAAACACGCCGCGTCCGTGATGGAGCCAGTCACACTCACCAACTTCTCCCGCCCTTTGTGTCCAGCTGGAAACAACCAACTCAGATGCGTGAGCTCGGCGCGTTCGCCCACACACACACACACACACAAACACACACACATGCACACACAAACACACACACACGCGCGCGCGTAGAGGCTAAGGCGCACCGATGATCTCGTTGTCGATGGGTCGAAGATCCAAGATCCGTACTTCGACATAGTCCTTGTCATCCAGCAACTCCTCCACCAGATGTGCTGTTGGAAGCGAGGTGATGTGATGGAGTCACACAACAGCAAAACAACACATCAGTCGTTGCGTTCGCATGTGTGCACACACACACAGAGCTCACGCACACACTCACACAGCACACACACACTCACACAGCACACACACACGCACACACTCACACACAGAGCTCACGCACACACTCACACAGCTCACACACACGCACACACACACACACACACAGCACGCACAGCCAAGGAAGCCCGCGGCGCCAGTGACCACGGCGATGCGTCCGCCACTCCTCGTCATTGTGTTGTCAGTCAACACTGTCCTCCTGAAGCGGACGAATGATATGGTGAATTATCGTTGCGGCTTGTCAAAATTCTTTTATTTTTTCATGGTGCCACCCTGACCGTTACACGCATCGCATACCACCACTACTTGTGCCACTTGTGCCAAGCACCCTGACACCAACCCGTGGCCCACTCTCCCTTCTTGCACACCCACGCACGACCTTGGCTGGTGCCACCACAAGCAGATTCGGGGGGTGAGCGGACACGCACACACACCAAATACAGAGGAGACGACAAGAGACAACACTAAGCAAGAGAGGACGCCAGCACTCTCATCAGTCCTTCGAGGTTGAGCAACCGACGTCCTGGCTTTGTTCTTGGTGTATTCGAGCAAGTGCCGCTCAGTACCAAACTCACAGCAGAGGTGGCTCGTGGGTTTTTTTGTTTTGTGCACTGCGTGCAGGTTTCAGCGCTTTTTGGAACTTGGCGGTAACGGAACATCAATCAGTCTGGTTCCCACCGGTTGCAGAGCAGAGAGAACTGAGAATCGACATGGACCCTTCCTCTGCTGCAGGTGAGTCAGCAAGCAGCAAGCGGCCAACACCAACAAAGTTCTGGAGAGCTTCCTTCCAACGCCTCCCTTCCTTGCTTGGTCACTCTCCTTCGCAGCCACACACGCTCACACACTCTCACACACTCACACACACACACACACACACACACACACACACTCACTCACTCACTTCACACACACACACACACACACACACACACACAGCTCACGATGGCGAAGAGGCTGCGCCACGTGTTGTACCGAGCCAGCCTGAGATTGCCGCGAGGTTTGCGGATGTACCCGGGTTTGAGGAGGGCGCGGCCTTGGTGCGAAACGGCAGGCTGCCAAAGGTCGACAGCGAGGTGCAGTCCCAGCGACGACGAAGGGTAGCGGCCATGCTGACGGAGACGGACATGTTCAAGCTCCCCACCAAGCTGTTTGAGCAGTTTCTGAATGACTCCGGGCTTGTTGACCCGCGGTTCAGTGGCTACTGTCGCTACCTGCGCGAGGCATGGTACAACTTCAAGGGCAAGCGGCTGCCAGACGATGTGTGCACGTACGGCTGTGGCCGTCTGGCTGAGTTTCGCGGCCAGATTGTCGACACGCGACTCTCTGTGGCCGGTGTCCGCTTCCTGGAGGACGAGCGCGAGCGGTACATGAACCGCATCCAACAGCAACGGAGTCGACAGCGGCGCAAGAAGCAGCGCAAGGCCGCCAGGACCAACCCAGATGCGCAGTCACCGCACGCCGCCCACCAGCCGCACGCCATGATCCGAGAAGAGTTCCTGCAGAACATACAGCAGCAACAGCAACAGCAGCAGCAGTTCTATCGTCAGCCACAGCAACAGCGGCAGTCGAAACCGCAACTACAACAGCAGCAGCAACAACAACAACAACAACAGCAGCAGCAGCAGTTCACCTCGTTGACCGTGCCCGTCACCTCCATGTACCCACAGCAGTTGCCAAGACCACATGGCCAACATGTGCCCGGCGAAGCCGCGCCGGAGGTGCGTGGGCAACCCCACATGCAACCGCAACAGATGCAGCCAGCTCACATGCGCATGCAGCCCATGCAGCCGTTCATCACCGAAGGCCCAGACACAATGGTGGCCGTGCCCGTGGTGAGCGTCGCTCCAGCGCCGCTCAGTCAAGACAGTGGCGAGCAACGGCACCAGTACACGTTGCAGTCACAGCAGGTCCACCCTGGTGGGGATGGCATAGGTGTGCTGCCACAACAGCATGCACGGGAAGGCGATGCGGTGGCCACCACCTTCGCGACCCCTGCACGAGTTCAGCAGAGCAACGACGCAAACACAATCGACAGCAGCAGCTCCGCATCAAGAGTGATGCCGTGGGGCACGCCACATGTGGCAGCAATGTCGCCACCCGGCGGAAAGAGCAGCAGCGCCATCAGCGATACACTGGGCACGCACACCATGCTGCGGCAATCCCCGATGAGGCTGCCACACTCACAATCACTTGTACAGCAGCAGCAGCAGCAGCAGCTTCACCAGCACCACCAGCACCAGCACCAGCAACCGCCAATGGGGATGGTGTTTGTACAGAGCCCGACCCAGTTACACTCGGGGCAGGGGTATCCGCGGTTCATATATGTGAGCCAGCCGCCGATTGCGCTCACAGCTGTTCCACAGGATTTGCTGGACAAGCAAGAGAGCCCGTACAAGGTATTGCCACCGCCAGCCAGCGTGGCGAGCACGGCTGTGCAGCACCAAGCCGCGAGCATAACGTCCACACAAGTGAGTGTATCCGCGGTAAATACACGAAGAAGCGTGGTGGCTCCGACGGCAGCGAGGAAAGACGGGTTTACTCGCAGCGTGAGCGATCCGGAGCCAACGAAACAGACCACCAGCAGTGGAGCTGGTGCTGCTGCTGCTGCAGCTGTACATGAGCAGCAACAGCAACAGCAACAGCAACAGGAGGATGGAGGCCGCAGTGACCGCGACACACATACGCCTGAGGCTGAATCACACCAGGGCGATCCGCAAAACGAAGAAACCCCTGGGGACGTCGGGGATACCGCCGCGATAGGCATGGCGCGCACTGCCCATGTGCTCGCAGCGCCGAAGACCGTGGTGCATGGCAGCAGCAAGCTGCACCCTCAACAACAACAGCAACAGCAGCAGCAACAACAACAGCCACCACCACCACAAGCGGTGGGAACTCTTGGGGCGGGAATAGGAGGTGGAATGGTGGAAGGTGCTGATGAGGGGTTGAGGCGACAGAGCGAGGGCGGCGAGGGTGATGCAGCGAGACGTGGGGTTTCACGGGCACAGAAGAAGCTGCTGCCTGTCTTGCGTGACATCACTGTTCCTCCTCCCCCTCAACAGCAACAGCAGCAGCAGCAGCAGCAGGAGGAGGAGGAGTTATTGCTGAGGGGAAGTGCAAGAGAAGGAGCAGTGCATGAGGATCCTGTGCAGAGCAAGCGGCCAAAGCTAAGCACGCTGCTGCCGTCTTCAGAGGGAACTTCAACACCCGCCATGCAGATGGCCGTGGCAGCCAGCAATGTACCACCACCTGCATCCGCCTCGTCCTTGCCTACGTCTAGGCAGCCAACCCAACGCCAAGCCTCTCGGCATGAACAGGAATAGCACTTTGTGTGTGTATGTGTGTGAGAGAGTGAGAGAGTGAGTATGTTTGTATTTGTATTTGTGTGTGTGTGTATGTATGTGTGTGCGAGGGGACGCAAGAGGAAAGCGAGTGAGTTCCACTGCGCTTTCCGGTTTAACCCTGCTTTCTTCAACGACTACTGTATGCACGACCAATGATCGAGTGACCGACTGACTGCCAAGCCAGCACCTGCTGCTTGATTGATTTTACCCTGTGCTTCATGATATGAACCGTTGTTAGCTATGTTATCGCACATGCATGTGCATGTTCATGTGCTGCTTGATGGTTGATGCTTGATCTTTCACTGGGAAGCGGGGTTTGTGTTTGTCGTTGTGGTGGGTGTGTTTGTCGTTGTGATGACATTGCTGTCAGCGCTGGTGTGACAGCATAGTTGGTATGAGGACAAGTTGCTCCTGTTCCCTGTGCACGTCAACATCTGAGCCTCTGTCTTGCCTTGTCTTCAGCTCGTCCGTGTTCTTGCTCGTTCTCCACCTCCTCCTCTCAGCCCTCCCGTCCCAACAGTACAGAGAAATAACGTTCATGTTGTGCACAAAGAGGTGGCGAAGTGATGGTGGAGGGTGGATAGAGGCTGATGGAAGGAAGAACAACCCATGATGGAATGATCAAGGACAAAGATGCGAGAGGACTAGCTCGGGGCGACACAGCAACAGTCACAAAGCTCCAAGTCAAAGGACACAGGTGCAGGTACACTGGTGCACACAGACACACGCTCCATCATCGAGCCATTGCGTCTATTGCGTGCTCTTGCTGTTTCTTCTTTCTTGCTTTTTTCTTCTTGCTTGACGGTTGCATGCATTTTCTGCTGATGATGACAACGATGATGATGACAGCGATGGCGGCCAGAGGAAGAATAGCACTGCTGCTACCTGCGGCGATGCGCAGCGCGCTGCAGGCGATGGGCCGGGGCGCCCGCGTTGGTGGTGGTAGAGCGCTATGGACAGACACACAGACATGTCCCGTGCTGCGAAGGTCAGGCCTCAGAGCATGGCACAGCTCCAGCACCAGCACCAGCAGCATCAACACACGCGTGTTTTCAATCGGCCGTGGTCTCCATGGCCGCACGCTTCCCCGTGCACACAGCACAATGCAACAGAGCCTCACACCGCACGTGTGGCGACGTGCGTTGTCGTTGACGAGCAATCGAGGTGCTGCTGCTGCTGCTGGTGGTGGTGGTGGTGCTGCTGCTGCTGCGAGGTTTGCGTGCCACACACGACCTGCCACGCGGGCGCAGCTTGCGGTCCGACTTGTTGCAGCAGCGGTGCCGATCAAGGCAGGCATGACATATTCAACCCACGCTGCGCATGGCAGCAAGTCAGGCACGTCCACGGCCGTGGCACGACGCAAAGCCAACAGCCTAGACGAGGCACTGCGTGAATTGAGCGGTAAGGCCGGTTGTGTTCTTGTGTGTGCGTGTGTGTGTGTCTGTGTGTGTGCGTGTGTCTGTGTGTCTGTGTGTGTGTGTCTACGTGTGTCTGTGTGTGTGTGTGTCTGGGTGTGTCTGGGTGTGTCTGGGTGTGTCTGGGTGTGTCTGTTGCCTACGAACAAGTTCCGTGCTCACATCTGCCCCCATACTCTATTCATGTGTGTGCGCAGTACAATCACGCATCGTGCGCGGCCTGCGTGTCCTTCGACGAATCATCCGCCACCTGCTTCTCTTTACGCCGGTTTGTCTGTCTGTCTGTGTGTCTGTCTGTGTGTCTGTCTGTGTGTCTGTGTGCACTTTTGTAGCCACCCCTCTCCCTCTCTGAGATTGTGATTGTAGACACAGCCCTCATCCTTCCCCGATGCACCCTCTTCACGCTGGCGATCAGGTTGTACTGGCGCTTCCCATTGCGTATGCGCTATCCTTCATGTCGCACCACTTTATTGACATCTGGTGGGAGTGGGTCCTGTGGACTGTCCAGGTACGTATGCACGTGTGTGTGTGTGTGTCCGTGCGTGCACGTGTGGGTTCAGTGCACGTGTGTGTGTGTGTGTGTGTGTGTGTGTGTGTGTGTGTGTGTGTGTGTGTGTGGGTGGGTGTGTGGGTGTGTGTGTGTGTGTGGGTGTGTGTGTGATCAGGCGCATCAGTGTCCATAGCATCACCACAAACATCTCCATCGCCACCCCCAGCCTCATCACACCATCGTCCCTCACCTCCCCCACGTCATCTGTACACCACCACCACCACCATCCCTGCATCTGGCGGCTGACAGGTGTCCGGCCCGGCGTTTATCAAGTTTGTGCAGTGGGCAAGTTCCCGCCGCGATCTGTTTGATAAGCAGATATGCGACCGCTTTGCACAGCTCCACGCCTCTGTCAGGAAGCACCCCTTTGAGGAAACAAAGGTGTGGCCTGTGACGCTCATGCACGCGCGTGTGTGTGAGGCTGTGAGTGAGTGAGTGAGTGAGAGAGAGAGAGAGAGAGAGAGAGTGTGTGTGTGTGTGTGTCCGTGCATCTTTGTGCCCCCGTGGGCGTCCACACCTTGCTGCTCACATGCTGAAACCTCCTCACCCCTCCGTCCCTCCTCCCTCATCGCATCATGAGCAGAAGACGCTGACTGCCGCCTTTGGCGACGGGTGGGACGAGTATCTCGATGTCAACGGCTCTCCCGTCGGGTCAGGATGCGTTGCTCAGGTAGCCAGTAAAACCTTTCATGGTGTGTGTGTGTGCGTGTGCGTGCGTGTGTGTGTGTGTGTATGTGTGTGCACTGTACTTCAGTGTCTGATGACAAATGACTCCAACCGTGTGCAGGTGTACCGCGCGACGCTGACGGCCAACGGAGAGCAGCACGACGTCGCAGTAAAGGTCATCCACCCGTACGTGCAGGTGAGCACCCACGTCATATGATCACAACAACAACGACACATCCAATATCTGCCCATCGCTTCACCCTACCCAAACACACACTCACACTCTCACACTCTCACTCACACACTCACACACTCACACACTCACACACACACACACTCACTCACACACACACACACACACACTCTCTCTCTCTCTCACACTCACACACTCACACACACACACTCTCCCCCACACACTCTCTACTCACACGCTCACACGGTCACACACACTTACACACGCTCCCGACCCGTCGTCTTCCCAGCGGCTCGTGCTTGACGACATTGAGGTACTGCGCTTTATCGCGTGGGCGCTGGAACTCATTCCCGCCCTCAAGTGGACAAGCGCCGTCGACAGGTCAGGGGTACATTGTGTGTGTGTGGGTGTGTGTGTGTGTGTGTGCTGTGCTGTGCTGTGCTGTGGCGTGCGTGCGTGTGTGTGCGTGTGTGCTGTTGCGTAGTGTTATTGTGTAATGAGAGGTTTGATGACATACTCACTCTGCGCATGTGCAAGCTGACACAACCACCCTTTCGCTCCTTTCTTCCTGGCTCAACGACGACATTGGGTGGCTGTGCAGTGTGGAGGAGTACAGCAAGCTGATGATCACGCAGCTGGACCTGCGGAACGAAGCACGAAACATGCTCCGGTTCTACGACAACTTCAAACGTGCGCTCATGTTGTGCATATTGGGGCTGGTGGTGCTGGTGTTGGTGGAGCTGGTGGGGCGGTGGTGACAATGAGCTTGCAAACTTGCGTATTCACACGCGCACATAGTCATGCATGTATACTCACGCACATACACACGTACGCACGTACAAACATGCACCGGCACAGGTGTGCACGACGTGACAGTTCCTCTCGTCCTGCCGGAATTCGTGTCCGAAAATGTTCTCATCGAAACATACGAGGAGGGCACGCCAATCAGCTCGGTATATTTGTTTGTTTGTTTGTTTGTTTGTTTGTTTGTTTGTGTGCATCGTGTGTGCATCGTGTGTGCATGCGTGTGCGTCGTTGTTTCTCTGCGTGTTTGCACTTACATTTGCCGTGCGCGCGTTCTTCGCCTGCCTTCCTTCCTTCCTTCCATCCATCCCTCTACCTCACCCCCCCATCAGATGTTTGAGGCTGACATGCCAATCCGGCGGCGGCTGGCGCGGCGGTGCGTGGAGCACTTCTTCCGCATGATGTTCGACCACAACTTTGTGCACGGTGATCTCCATCCAGGAAACCTCCGCGTCAAGGGCGTCGATGACACAGGTGATGAAACGCGGGCATGTTGCATGCGTGTGTGTGTGTGTGTGTGTGTGTGTGTGTGTGTGTGTGTGTGTGTGTGTGTGTGTGTGTGTGTGTGTGTGTGTGTGTGTGTGTGTGTGTGTGTGTGTGTGTGTGTGTGTGTGTGTGTGTGTGTGTGTGTGTGTGTGTGTGTGTGTGTTGTTTACTGTACAGCCCCTCCTCTATTCGCATCTCATCACACCGCCCACAACACAACAGGCGAGCCGACAGGAGAAGACCTGCAGATTCTGCTGCTTGATGGCGGCATCGCAACGGAGCTCTCATATCGGGTGAGAGAACACACACACACACACACACACACACACACACACCAATAGTGTATGCTGCGCGCGTTCACGTATGTTCCCAAACGCTCATTCACCACAATTGTAACCGCCGCCACCTCCACCACCAGGACCGGGTGAACTTTGTTGATCTGTTCTCTGCGATCATTCAACGCAACGGGCGTGAGGCCGGCCAGCTCATGCTCGAGCGAACGCGACTGCACGTACGTCATGTGATTTTCAGTGCAGTGCAATGGCGGCGCGGGTTGGCGTGGTCAAGCGCGTTGCTTGCATGTCGGGTGGAGACACTCACACATATCAATATTGCTCTCGCGTGCACACACATGCAACAACATGCACTCACATATACACAACCCCATCTCTTCGCGCCTTCAACTTGCGGTTCAGGACTGCCCGGACCCGGAGGGTTTTGTGGACGCCATTGACGATCTCATTCGCACTGCCGTTGACGTGAGTACACACACGCACAAACACACACATATATGCACACACACACACACTTGGCGACACATCGTGCTTGCAGGCAACATCACAAAGCTTGTGCTGTAGCTGTTCTGTTCTGGTTTTGTCCCACCTTTGTTGCTCACTGCAGTCACACACACACACACACACACACACACACACACACACACACGCCATGCAACTTGTGGCTTCACGTGCGTGAGCAGAAGGGCATTAGTCTTCGTCGCGTTCGCATCGGCGAATTGCTGCAACGCGTCCTCTCTCTCATGTGCACATACAGGTCCGCAACACACACACACACACACAGATACACAGATACACACGTGCGCATCATTGCTTGCCTTGTCCTTCGCGTGTGCATGTGTGTCACACGTTGTCACGTTCGCTGCCTCATGCCCATCTGTCATTCACACATGTGCAGAGTCAAGATTGAGAGCAACTTCACGTCAATCATGATTGGCATTATGGTGTGTTGCCTTGTTTTGACGGTCTTTGAAAGGTGTTGTCGTGAAGCGTGTGATGGGGATGCACCTGCGGAAACACACACACACACACACACACACACACACATGTTCGCACACTTCCTCCCCCCTGCCCACCTCACGACCATCAACCAATCACCACCGACCACGAATCAGGTTGCTGAGGGCGTTGGCCGCTCGCTGGACCCAGAGGTCGACCTGATGAAGATTGCCGGACCAATTCTCCTGCGAGAGAAGGCGAAGATTGCGTTTCTCTCCGCGCCGCCAGACGCAGACGAGTAGCACACGCGTGGTGGTGGTGGTGGTGTGATTGTCTGTGTGTGTTCATGCAACAGGGCTGATTGCGTGCTGTACAAACTGTGTGTTGGTTGTGGTGGTGTTGTTTGCTGTTTGGTTCGAGTTAGATCGACATTGTGGTGGTTCTTTATGCTCTTTTCTCTGCAAGCAAGCATCCATTAAACATAGACCGAACACACCCACGCGCAACTCAGGCATCAGACATGCTGCTGTGATGTGTGATTGTATTGCTTGCACTCCTGTGATCATATGCTGGGCAACCTGCCTCATTTCTCTTGTGTTCGTTTGCGTGCGCGCGCGCGCGTGTGTGTATGTTTCTGATGAACGACACACTGTGGTGTTTTATGTACAGACAAACTAACCAAGCAATGGGGGAAGCAAATGAACGGGCCAACCTCAAGTGAAACGAACATAAAATGAGAGAACAAGTTGTGGTGTGTGGTGTGATAAGACGCTCAACATGAGATTCAGTGTGCATGCATGTGAGTGCGTGTGTGTGTGTGTGTGTGTGTGTGTGTGTGTGTGTGTGTGTGTGTGTGTGTGTGTGTGTGTGTGTGTGTGTGTGTGTGTGTGTGTGTTCCTTTTTTTTTTTTTTTCATCGTGCACATCATGTGGACAGAGGTCACAAATGCGTGTGCGAGAGATGCCAGCCCACACCAGTGCCACCGCCCTCAAGCACAACACACCGCCACAACCGCCCTGCATCTACTCTTGCGCGCGCGTGTTCTTGTTTGCCTGCGCCTTGGCTGCGAGCGAGTGGAAGAAGCTGTTACGCCTGTCGTGCAAGGTCGACAGAAACGCCTGCACGCGCCTGGCCCGCCCCTCCTGCCGCTGCTCAACAAGACGCCGCACCTGCAGCGAAGAGGACAACGGCGTGTTGGTGAAGACGCGTGGACAGATGTGGCTTTCATTGTGCATACGTGCGTACGTGCGTGTATTCGTGTTTGCGTGTGTGCCTGTGCGTGCGTGCGTGCGTGTATTCGTGTTTGCGTGTGTGCCTGTGCGTGCGTGCGTGCGTGCGTGCGTGCGTGTGTGTGTGTGTGTGTGTGTGTGTGTGTGTGTGTGTGTGTGTGTGTGTGTGTGTGTGTGTGTGTGTGTGTGTGTGTGTGTGTGTGTGTGTGTGTGTGTGTGTGTGTACTGTACGACGAAGGCAGTCTTGCGACAGGAGCAGCAGGAGCGCATCGGCGCCATGACGCTGGAATGCGAGCAGCACCTGTGCTGGTGGGAGGGATCCATCTTTACTGTTGTGGACGACTGCAGCGGTGTCAAGGTCAAGCTGCTGTGTGCTGAGATGCTCAGCCCGCCGCCGGAGGGCAGTCTGGTTAAGACGTGCACACAGTTGTGTTGCGTTGCATTGGATGAGTGAGAGCGGGCAAATGCTCAGAAACACACACACGCGCACACACACACACACACGCACACGCACACACGCACACACACACGCATCATCAAGAAATGGTTATGACAAGCTTCCCCTACCAATTTATCCTCCAAGCTCACCCCAACCCCACGCCACTACCACAACCGTTCACCACAGATAACAGATGTGCGTACGGTGATTGCGTTGTGTGACTGCTGGTACTGGAGAAAGCACTTGACAAGGTCCCAGAACGAGAAGTCGGGCCAGAGCACGGGGCTGAACGCAAGGTGAACATAAGCGCCCTGCCAGAGAAGGAAATCGCTCAAGCGAACCTCTCCGCTGCTGCGGATGATAAGCGATGGGGGCGGCGACGCATTCGTGTACAGACACTGCTCAACAAGATGCTCCGTAATGTCGCTGTAGGTGCATGCGTGTGTGTATGTGTGTGCGTGTATGTGTGTGAGTGTGTATGAGTGTGAGTGTGTATGAGTGTGAGTGTGAGTGTGAGTGTGAGTGTGTGTGTGTGTGTGTATGAGTGTGAGTGTGTGTGAGAGAGAGTGTGTGTGTATGTGTTCGTGATGGTACGTTCAGTGGGGTGGCACATGCAAGCACATGTGCCAAACATGCATGTGCACATGCACACGTGCACACACCTCTCGTACAGTTCCCCCTCTTGCACGGCCTGCGTGATCTCGTGCGCCGCCATCGCCATTTCTTCTCGCGCAGTGTACACAAAGCACACGTTCAATATCGCTCTGCCAATAATTCACACACACAACACAAGATGCGAGCAGTTGGGGTGAGAATGTGCAGCGCTGTGTGTCTGTGTGTGTGTGTATGTGTGTGTGTGTGTGCGTGTGTGTGTGTGCGTGTGTCTGTGTCTGTGTGTGTGTGTGCAGTCATGGGAATGTGAGATGGAAACAGCGCAGGGCAAGGGCAGTTTGCAATGACGAACGCAAGCCCCACCTCGTGTTGTCCTTGGATATGTCGACGGCTTTGCCTATCGCTTGCTGTAACGATGGTGGCAGCCGCTTCACATCGCCAAGCACACGTACGCATACGCCCAGGCGGTGGATCATCTCTCTGGTTGGAAGAAAGTTCAACAGCAAGCGAATGCTTTGGTATGAACACATTTCACCGCGACACATTCGCACAACACATTCAAGCACAAATCCCGGCACGCGGCACGTAGACGCGAGGCGGTGTGTTCGCGGATGGGCATAGAGCAGCATTCCACACGAGTGCAAGGACGACGCACTCTTCGTTGAGAAGCTGGATGAACTTCTCCTCTGCCAGTTTCATGAGGTCGCCAACTTCCTTCTCCGACCGCTTGAAGTTCTCGCTGCTGAATGCGTATACAGTCACCATGTGAACGCCAAGATCCAGACACCACTCCAAAGTCTGCCAAATGAACCACGGCAGGATGTGGAGAGCACAAGTGGAGGAGTGATGCGCAGTGTAAGGAGAAATGCAAGCAGGGTCATGTCGTGATCCGTGCGAATACAAGCACGTGCGCGTGCACATGCAGGTGAGCGCACATAGGTGAGCGCACCTGCAAACATCTCGCGCGCACACACACGCACGCACACACACACACACACACATAAATGTAAACCTTCTTGAGAGTGCTAAAGCCCATGCTGTGCCCTGCCACTGTCTCTGTTTTCGCGCGCCTTGCCCAGCGACGGTTGCCATCCATGATGAAGGCAACGTGCTGTGGCACTGGACCCGTCTTGACGGCTGCGCCCACCATTTTCCTGTGTGTGTGTGTGAGTAAGTATGAGTACATGTGCGTGAGTACACGCACACACGCACACATGCACACGCGCACACGCACACACACACACGCACACACGCGCGCACACACGTACACGCACACACGCGCCTCCATCATCGCACACGCACCTCAGCCAGCTGTCCATATCTCCTCTTTGTTCTTGCTTGCTTGTTGGCGGAAGCGCTGTGTCAGAAACAAAGGCCTGTCATTTATATAGGCCAACACACCTACAACTAGGCATGCCGGTTATCGTCAAGGACTGCGAGTGGACGCAAACAGATGACAGCGTGGAGGTGGTGGTGCCGCTCAAGGGCAAAGCACCCCCACCCTCTGCCGTCTTCACCTCAGATACATACATCAAGGTCAGGCGTGTGTGTGTGTGTCTGTGTGTCTGTGTGTCTGTGTCTGTGCGTGTGTATGTGTGTCTGTGCGTGACTGTGTGTGTGTATGTGTGTGCATGTGTGTGTGTGCATGCATTTATTGCGAGCTCACACAGACTGTGTCACGCTTGTGCGCAACAACCACAACACAATGCGCAGGTGAACTTTCCCCCGTTTCTGTTCGAGCTTGATCTGCTGCACCCCATTGATGAAGCAGAGAGCAAGGCCGTCATCTCAAAGGGCGTGGCAAAGTTCCAGCTGAAGAAACAAACCCCAGGCGCATGGGAACAACTCGCATACAAGACGTGCGTGCGTGTGTGTGTGCGTGTGTGTGTGTGTGTCTGATCTCCTGATCGTCGTGCTTTAAAGAACTCACAGGAGCACGCTCATACCCATGCACACGCACACACACACACACCCTCACATACCCTCACACATACACACATACCCTCACACACACACACTCACACGATTTCCAGAGAGGACAAGGCAGCGCTACGACAGCGGCGCCTCAAGGCAGAGGAGGGCGTGCGACAGCGAGCAGCGGAGCAAGCTGAGACGAAATCCAAGGAGCAGTATGAGAAGCAGCGGGCAGCAGTTCAACGTCAAATGAAGGTGCAATACACTGTGAATGTGCGTGTGTGTGTGTGTGGATCATGCAAAGGAATATGCAGATACGTTTGTGGAAGAGTGTGTGCTTGTGTGTTCGCGTGTGAATGCAATCAGATTCACTTTGCGTGCCTGTGATTGTATCTATCATCATCAACTCACAGCTGGAGGAAGAGGAGAGGCGACGACGACAGGAGAAGCAAGATGCAGCACGCTCTGCAGGTCTGTGCTTGCCCCTGAATGTTTAGTGCCGCTACTTGTGTGCCGTACCCTGCCGTCGCCTTACCCGTCTTCCCTCCTCGCCAAAGCCTCACCCTCGCTTCTGTGCGTGCACATGTGCGCTGCTCCCAACGCCTGTGTTGCAGTGGATGATGCGCTCGCCCAAGGCATCGCTGCCACGTCCATCTCCGCACAAACGTCCAGCCCACCACCACCACCACCACCATCTTCATCATCAACATCAGCAACAACACTGGCACTGACGACAACAGCACCCTCCACAGCATCGTCCCTCCCGCCTGTGCGTCGTGCAGGCAAAATCAGTGTCACATTCTCCCACCGCGCATTCAAAACCCCCGAGCGCGAGACGTACAAGGAGCAGGAGCAGCAGGTAAGTTTCGAAGACTTGCACGTGTGCGTGCACATGTACCTCAGCTTGCATGCATATAAATATATGTATATGTTCGTGCTGCAAGCAACTGCAGCTGCACCTGTTGCATCTCTTCACACACACACACACACACACACCACACACACACACACACCAACACTGTCCCAACCCCCCCCCTGATCCTCACGATGGATGTAGTGGCTGGACAAGCAAGCGGCTGCACGAAAGGCGATTGCAGAGGCGAAGGGCGAGGGTGGCGTTGAACACGATCCACTCTGGTACATCGACAAGGGCAGGTACGCACACACATGCTCATTGTTTTATGTTTGTTTGAGTGAATGAGTGTGTGAGCGAGAGTGTGTGTTTCCTTGTTTGTTTGTTTGTTTGTTTGTTTGTTTGTTTGTTTGTTTGTTTGTTTGTTTGTTTGTTTGTTTGTTTGTTTGTTTGTTTGTTTGTTTGTTTGTTTGTTTGTTTGTTTGTTTGTTTGTTTGTTTGTGGCCAAGTGTGTTTGGTGCCTTCGCGCGTGCATGCCTCACTCTTGCCCACACATGCACACGCGTTCATGTGTAACTTTGCTGCGTCCTGGACTGCAGATCCTTCTTCCGTGCCGGTGACTGTCAGAGTGCAATCAATGCGTTCACATCAGCAGGTCTGTGACTGAGCATTCGCGCGTGTGCCTGCATGTTTGTTCTTGTGCATGTGTGCCTCGAGTGTATTCCTTTTCTCATGCATGGCGCACATCATCTGATGCCCTCATGCCACCACCACTCTTGTCACCATCACCATCACCACCATCAATTCATCACCACCACCACTAGTGACCCTGGACAAGACGAGTGCCACTGCGTTCAGTCTTCGTGCTGCGTGCCATCTTCGCCTATGCGACTACCAGGCATGCGCCGCTGACGCCACCAAGGTCTGTGGTGATGATGACTGCTGGTGGTTTTCCGTTTGGTGTCATGAACACTCAACCACTCGACATCCTGACCGTCAATGGCCTTGCTTGCAAGCACATCTGTCCTTTCCGCCCTTCACCAACCAACCATGTGCATTCTTGCTTCCAACCCCAGGCGCTGTCGCTGCTACAGCCCCCGTGTTCAGCCAATGCAGGCGATCGCTTGAAGGCGCACCTCCGCCGCGCCGCCGCTCTTGAGGCAATCAACGACACCCAAGCAGGTCCGTGGCGTTGTTTGTGTACGTGTGTCTGTATCTGTGTCTGTGTCTGTGCCTGTGTTTGTGTGTCTGTGTCTGTGTCTGTGTCTGTGTTTGTGTGTGTGTGTGTGTGTGTGTGTGTGTGTGTGTCTGTGTGTGTGTGTGATGTGTGATGTGTACGCTTCATGTTCATGTTTGCGTCGCGCCGTTTGCAATCATGTGAAGACTCATACCCCTGCCATTGGTTTTGTTCGACTTCTTCAACCACCACCACCACCACCGCAGCGCTGTTTGATTATCGCAAGGCTCTGGAGCTTCAGCCGCACGACGCGCGCGTGCGTGCACACATTGCCGAGCTCACGGGCGATGATGGTGGCGATGGTGGTGGTGGTGGGGTGCAGGAGTAGGCTGGACCTTGTGTGATGTGAAACGGTGTCCTTTGAGACAGCACCGTCGTGTGTCGGAATTAAATGAAAAAAAGGTGTACCAGTCGTGTGCTCACCCGTCGATTCGCTCGCGTAAATGGTTGTATTGGGCGTGCATGCAAGCACGACAGTTTGAGGTTCAATAGCTGATGAGAAGACAAGGAGGGAAGATCAAGGCTACTCCAAAAGACACACACACACACACGCAAAACCCGGTTCATCACACACACACACACACACACACACACAGTTGTTGTGAGTGCTGCTTGGCTAAATACGTCCTAGTCCTAGGACGACACGCGCTGGGCTTCGCGTTGGCGCTTCATCTGAATCTTCGCATGAGTGTACACAATACCTGTTGTGGGGGGGGGAGCAGTGCATGTGTGTGTGTGTGTGTGTGTGTGTGTGTGTGTGTGTGTGTGTGTGTGTGTGTTTGTGTTGATTTGAAGGCGGAGGAAGGAGGGTGCGAATGTGGAGGAGGTGAGCGGTCACGCGTTTGAAACGACCAGGGCAACAATACACGGAGCACACAGGGCAAACACATACGCTCATACGTTACAGACACACACATACATACACACGCTCACATATGCACAGCGCACAGCGTTACACACGTACGCACCCACGTGCAAACACACACACACACACACATACACAGTGCGCGCACCTGCACCGAGGCCGACGGCGATGCTGACCATGGTCTTCCACGTCATGTTCATGTGGAAGAAGAGCACAGACGCAAACGTGATGG